TTCTCTTGCAGCAGGAACAGGCTGTGATCACACTCGCTCTTCTTGAACCCCCCGGCCAGCAGTGTCTCCTCCAGCTTGTGGTACCATGCGCGAGGAGCCTGCTTCAGGCCATAGATGGCCTTCTTGAGCCTGCACACCCTGCCGCTCCCATCATCCAACCCCTCAAGCTGCAGCATGTACAGCTCCAGAATGATTCCATTGAGGAAGGCAGTGATTATGTCCATCTGCTTGATCTTCCAGCCACGGTTTGCAGCCATTGCCAACATCGTCCTCAGTGTAGTGCCTTTCCCCACAGGAGCAAAGATATCATCAAAATCCTTCCCCTTTGTCTGTTGGAACCCCTTAGCCACAAGCCTTGACTTGTAGCGGGTCAGCTCCCCATCAGGTCCGTACTTGTGCCTGAAAATCAGCTTGGAAGAAATGGCCTTCTTCCCTGGAGGCAGCTCACACAGCTCCCACGTCTCGTTCTCCAGCAGAGAGTCATACTCCTCCTTCACACTCTGCTTCCACTTCTCAGCATCGGGCCCACTCAAGGCCTCGGTAAGTGTCTTGGGCTCAGGGACGGCTGCCTAGTAATAGTGCGCTATCTCCTCCTCATCACACTGCTCAGCCACACTCCCAGCCCTTACCACACTTGGCTTCCCAAAGCTCGGATAGGTCAGCCGGTTAGGAGGGCGCACATCCCTCCTTGGACGGTCAGCCGGACGTACGGCACCTTGTGGAGCATCTTGCTGCTGCTGCTGCTCCTCCACCTCAGGTTCTCCCCCATCCTCAGTCACCCCAGAAATCTCCTCCTCTGAGACAGTGACCTGCACTTGCCTCGAAGGCCGCTGCACCTCATCAGCCTCAATGATCAGCGGTGTAGTGGGAAGCTTCCGCTGCTGCTGCTTCCACTCCTTGTAGTACAAGGACTCAAGGAACTTCACATCCCTCGACACAGTCAGCTGCTGGCTGGTCAAGTCCCAAATCAGCCAGCCCTTGTGATCCTTAGCAAGCCCCAAGTGCACACCCCATCTCCCAGAAGCTTCCAGTTTTCCCCTCTTCTCCTTAGGCACATGAAACACCACCATGCAGCCGTAGGCTCTCAGCATGTTGACTGCTGGTGCACTCCCATACCACTTGGTGTAGGGGACCCATTGCTTGTCCCCCACTGTCGCCAGCACCCGATTCTTCACAACAGCGACCTGCCGCAGTGCTGTCACCCAAAACGGATCCGGCAGCCCTGCACGCCCAAGGAGAGTGCGAGCACCTTCCTGCAGGGTCCGGTTGAACCGCTCAGCCACGCCGTTCTGCTGAGGGTTGTAGGGCAACGTGAGCTGATGCTGGATCCCCTTCTTCTTCAGCACCGCCTCAAAATCAGCGCCAATAAACTCTCCCCCATTGTCGGTGCGGATCACCTTGACCTTGTGTCCGCTCTCCCTTTGTGCTCTCGGCATCCACTCCTTAAGAACAGCCGCTGCCACCTCCCCTTTAGTCTTGAGAGGGTAGACCCACACCGCACGTGTGTGGTCATCCACAATGGTCAAGAAGTAGCGGCTGCCCGAGAGAGAAAGGGCCCTTGTGGGGCCCAACACATCCATGTGCACAAGCGCGAGTGGAACCTTGGCTGGTCCCGTGCTGCTGCTGAAAGGGAACTTGGTGAACTTTGTCTCAAGGCATGTAGGGCAGCTCCCAATCTCCTTCGCTGCCCCCTTCACCTCCAATCCCTTCAAGCTCCCATCCTTCACCAACTTCTGCAGCATAGGAATGTTGATGTGGCACAGCCTCTCATGCCACGTCTCCCAATCGGCCTCACCACTCCCAGACGAAGCCTTTGCCCATGCAGCCATTGCATCCACACCAGCAAGCACCTCACCATGTGATTGCTGTGGCTGCTGCACCTTCTTGACTGCATCCAGGGCCCCAGCAGTTGGTGCAGTCTCCTCTCCTCCCGCAGTTGCCTTAGCCGCTGCCGCTGCCTTTGCCGTTGCTGGAGGTTTCCCATTCCAAGGGATGATGGGCAGCTGCCACAGGTCCTTGATGCAGCTGCTCTTCTCCTCCAAATCCCACAGCAGCAACTTCCCAAGCTTTGCACGGCAGCTGGTTGGGCCGAACGTGACTTTGGCCTTGCTTTTCTGCAGCCGGCTCACAGAGAGGAGGTTAGCGGATAAACCTTCAACCAACAGCACATTTCCCAGCCCCACAAGCCCCCCATTAGCTCCCATAACCTTGGCATTCCCAACACCAATTACAGGGAGCAAGGCACCTGAAGCGGCAGCCACAAACTTTATCTTCCCAGGGGGCTTCACCTCATCAAGCAAATCTGCCCGTGGAGTCATGTGACTCGTGCAACCTGAATCGATCACCCAATGAGTGAGGGGGTGCATCACAACCTTCCCAACTGAACCCACATCACCCCCACTCCCTTGCACATCCTCAACCATGAGGAACATCCCAGGGTCGGCTTTACCTTGTGCACCATCACCTTGTGCACCTGAACCTTGCACAGCACCACCTCGTGCACGTTCACCACTTGGCGGCTTCCTGCCTGGAGGTGCCCATCCTTCAGGCCGGCTGAAACACTTGAACCACGGGTGTCCAGCCTTCTTGTAGTACCAGCACGCACCCTCCATTCGGGTGCTCTCCCTGCCACCAGAGCTCTCATGCCCCTCGTTGTAGTCACCTCGGCCTCTTCCTCTGCCAAAGCCTCTCCCACGGCCTCGGCCTCTCCCTCCCCCTCTTCTTCTGCTGCCTCCTGCAGCTCCATACCCCTCAGCAGTTTTGTTGGCAGCACCACCTCCTGTGTGGCGCCTGCGGAAGTCCTCTTGCAGGATCTGCTGCCGTAGCCACTCAGGCGTCCACTTGTCCTGCTGAGCGTTGAGGGTGGGGATAAGGTTGTCCCACGAGTTGTCGAGCACCGAGATGATTTTGGTGCACTGCTGCATTTCCGACACCTTGCTGCCCGCCGCTGCCATCCTCGCATAGGTGTCCTTGATCTTGTCAAGGGCCGGCTTCACATCATCTCCCGGCCGCATGGAGAGGGCAGCCAGCTCCTTCTCCAATACGATCACCATCGGCAGCGTGTTGGGTTGAACCACGTCGCGTAGCAGCTTCCACGCCTTCGGTCCCGAGTCATGGAGCTCCACCAAATCCTTGATGTGCTGGAACATGTCGTTGTTGACCGACTGTAGAATCAAGTCGTACAGCACCGCGCTCCGTTCAATCCACCGATCGCGGGCATCTCCTTCCTCGGGCATCTTCTCCTCTCCCATAGCCAATTTCAGCAGCTTGTAGCGCTTGAAGGCGCTCCTCATCCGCCCACTCCATTCTTCATAGTTGGAGCCATTCAATGCCTCAATCTTGGATGGTGGCGGCTCACTCTTCTTCTCAGCTCCTTATCCACTCCCTTGACTCATCTCCTCTGCTCCCAATCAGAGGTTTCAGCTCCTCCCCTATGCTGGTCACAATGTAGATCCACACAATCTTCACAAGTGTCGGCGCCAACGAAATTTCGGCAGAGTTTACCCTTAGCGGAAGTCACGTGCAACCTCTAGAACTCCACTTAGGCACGCCCACAGGCCATGGTGGGTCTAGGAGGGTCTTCACACTTCAGTAGACTCTCCACAAAGTCCTTAACCAGCTCTGATACCACTTGTTAAAAACTAAGGACGGAGTCTATGAAGATTAGGTGCCCAAATTTCTCAAAATCGTTGGTCTCAATTTCTGGACAGAAATGTCGACTTCACAAGAAACGTTGTCGACGAAAGGTGCACAGTTAGAATCCCACGAAATTCGAATATGTTGTAGCCCTAGACCGTAGCTACATTTCCCAATTTGAATCGTATCAAAATATGAAGCATATCTCGAGTTATACGTTTCGGCGCACTAGGGGGTATGCTGCCACAGAAATTTAACTCAATCACAATTAACTCATAAGTCCCACAAAAGAACATTAGAGTAACACTAAACCTTGTAGGAGGGGAAGAGGAGGACGAGAGGGAAGGTCCCAAGAGAGAGTCCCCAACCAAGGAAACCCCATGCCACACGATTCCCTTCCCCATAGGCAACAAACTTTGACCTTTGTCACTTTCCAACCCATGCCATCCACCTCACCACAACTTGGCCACACTTACCAACCTGGTTTGGCTTCACCCAACCTCTTGGCAGCATCTACAGTGATGGGTTCGAATTTCCCAACCCCCACAAGTCTGTACCCCATATTGAGTCAATGCCACAACTTCCCAAAGTAGCTGCAACCAAAATATATAAGCATACGAACTCCAATGTTTGTAACTTTCTTGGTTGTGCTCCGATCGCGACGATTCATGGTTCGTCGGAAAGCTCTTGAGTAGAGGAATCACTTCAGATATCTGCTCAAGCCAAATAACATAACACACACACACACACACACACACACACACACACACACACACACACACACACACACACACACACACACACACACACACACACACACACACACACACACACACACACACACACACACACACACACACACACACACACACACACACACACACACACACACACAGACAGAAAATCCAAACCACACAAGACACAAATTTCTTGCACACGCTCACACCACGCATGCAACGCACAAACACATGATGGGAGGCAGACAGACGTGAATGCATATGGTTGCATCACACAACATTCCATTCCCATTCCTGCCCCTGCAGAGCCTCCTCCCTTTCGCGTCGTTCTCGCTCACTGGCCTCCACCCTCTGTCGCTCTCGCTTCCCTTCACTCGGCTCTTCTCACCCTTTCCGCTCCCTGGCCTCCAACCTCTTACGCTCCCGCTCCCCATTTTCCCTTGTTTCCTTTTCGTGCGCCTGTCGATCCTCAACCTCCAGCCTCTTCCGCTCCGGTTCCCCCTCCCTAAGCCGCTTCTCCTTTTTTTCGCGCTCCTCCTTCCTCTCCTCCTCCCGCTTCCGCTCTTCCTCCTCCCGCTGCCGCAAGTCTCCTTTTTCGCGCTCGGCCTTTTTTTCTTCTTCCTTTTTTTACTCTTCATCCTCCCTCTGCCACTCTTTCTCCTCCCTCTGCCGAGTCTCCTCTTTTTCGCGCTCAACCTGTTCCTCCTCCCTCTTCCGCCCTTCCTCCTCCCTCTGCCGCTTCTCCTCCTTTTCGTGCTCCACCTTTTTTTCCTCCTCCCTTTTTTGCTCTTCTGCCTCCCGCTGCCGCTTCTCCTCCTTTTCGCGCTCCACCTTCTTTTCCTCCTCCTTCCGCTCTTCCTCCTCCCTCCGCTGCTTCTCATTTTCGCGCTCCGCCTTTCTCTCATCCTCCCTCTGCCGCTCTTTCTCCTCCATCTGCCGAGTCTCCTCTTTTTCGCGCTCAACCTGTTCCTCCTCCCTCTTCCGCGCTTCCTCCTCCCTCTGCCACTTCTCCTCCTTTTCGCACTCCCCCTTTTTTTCCTCCTCCATTTTCTGCTCTTCCTCCTCCCGCTGCCGCTTCTCCTCCTTTTCGCGCTCCACCTTCTTTTCCTCCTCCTTTCGCTCTTCCTCCTCCCTCCGCTGCTTCTCCTTTTCGCGCTCCGCCTTTCTCTCATCCTCTCTCTGCTGCTCTTTCTCCTCTTTTTGCCGAGTCTCCTCTTTTTCGCGCTCAACCTGTTCCTCCTCCCTCTTCCGCGCTTCCTCCTCCCTTTGCCGCTTCTCCTCCTTTTCTCGCTCCACCTTTTTTTCCTCCTCCCTTTTCTGCTCTTCCTCCTCCCGCTGTCGCTTCTCCTCCTTTTCGCGCTTCACCTTCTTTTCCTCCTCCTTCCGCTCTTTGTCCTCCCTCCGCCGCTTCTCCTTCTTTTCGCACTCCGCCTTTCTCTCATCCTCCCTCAGCCGCTCTTTCTCCTCCCTCTGCCGCTTCTCCTCCTTTTCGCGCTCCACCTTCTTTTCCTCCTCCCTCTTCTGCTCTTCTTCCTCGCGCTGTCGCTTCTCCTCCTTTTCGCGCTCCACCTTCTTCTCCTCCTCCTTGCGCTCTTCCTCCTCCCTCTGCCACTTCTCCAGCTTTTCGCGCTCCGAATTCCTCTCATCCTCCCTCTTCCGCTCTTCCTCCTGCCGCTTCTCCTCCTTTTCGCGCTCCATCTTCCTCTCTTCCTCCCTCTCATGATCTTCCTCCTCCCGAGGACGCTCCTCTCGCCCCAGATCATACCTCTTCTTTGTTCGTGCCTCCCGTCTCTGATACACCACCCTAGTCTCCAGTTCCGACCTCTGCACCTCTTCCTCCAATTCGCCTACGACATTCAGACTTTCCTGCTCGTCTTCCAAACCCTGACACTGTTTGTGTTGAGCATTCTCGACGAGGAGATGCATTGCCTGTAAAGCAGTTGCAAGCTCCTCCATCATCTGATCTTCTATCATCTCCTTCTCCCCCCTCTACTGGATGGCCTCCTTTGCTGCCTTCTGCTGCGTCTCCCTCAATCCACGCAAGATTTCGCGCGCACTCTCCCCCTGAGCGGGTGCTTCCTCTGTATCAATCAGCTGACGCTCCCCATTCGCGACGCTCTGTCGCTCGTTGGCCAGACCAATTCGAACGCCGTCAGCAATCAGCGCACCCACAGCGACTATTTCCGCATCAATCTCTGGCGGGGGACCTGTGTCCTCTGCGACAGGCCCATGATGGTCCAAGTTGTCCACCTTCTCTTCCTCTCCAGCAATTTCACCACGTTCTACTTTGGCGAAATATGTACCACAGTATTTGAGTATCTCCGCCAGAACATGCTCTCGACGGTAATGTGGGGTTCCCATGACGAGGAATTTCTCGTCTGTAGTCCCCTGCTGCAGAATCTTGTCAAAATGATCTAGTATCTTGCACCACTGATAGGCCACGTGAAGGCCTGCACCAACCTCCCTCTCACCGACTGCCTGAGTTAGCTTCTGCACGAAATAGATGTGGAATCGCGTAAGCATCTGTCCGTTTTCGAAAGAACCAGTCTCAAGATTTGTACAGTCAACTTACCGCCGTTTTGTCGAGCTTCCACCCGCTTTTGATGCAAGCACGAATGTTTCCAAAAACTTCCTTCGTCTCCCCTTCCGAGGGCAAGAGCGCTTGCCCTCTTGAGTACTCCATCAAGAGCTGCAACTCCAGCCACCTGCGAAAAACGTGTTGTTTCGACGAATTCAATCAGCGTCGTATAAGTCGGCAACATGCACAGATGAACCATAAAATACGGATACCCACTGGACAATCTCTTGGGCAAAAACAGCGTGCTTGTGTGTCGGAGAACACACTTTTGGGTCGAAACACATGAGACGCGTCTGAACCGGTGACTTCGGTTTGTCCCACAGACTGCCGGGGCGTACCAGAAGAAAGAGGCTACAGTGCGCCCTGTCATAATCTAGAACGAGTTGGGCTTAGGAGCCATGGCTTAGGAGCCTTGGTAGTTGAGTTCGAGGGTAAGGAGAGTGTCGAGAAAGTTTAGGAAGGAGAATGAGGGTTTCAATAATAGAAAGGCATACAAGTTATAGTCAAGGAAATGGGCAAATGGTGCACCACCAAGAAGGAAACTATAACTACACTAAACTCTACTGTAGGCATTTATAAATGTGTACGAATACATTTCAACACGCCCGAGGGTCGGCACTGATAATGTAAGGGGTGGTGGGGCGAAATGATAGTCATGCAGAACTCGATATCAAACAAACGAGTAACTTTATGAGAAACAACGTTTTCGAAAGAACGTTTCGAAACTCGAACTCACCTGGACCATAGCGGGAATACGCAGAGCTGCTTGCCAAGGAGACCAGTAAGTCTATCAGGACCCATAGGTTCCACAGGGACTTTCACCCTAGCGACGTTGACCTTATTCATGGGAACAATTTCGACCTTCAAAAGCTGCTCCGCGGTCAGCCTTTTTTTTGCAAGCATCCTGCCCATCATGTATAGACAAACGCTCGATTCAGCTAAAACATTGGTAGAGGAACATAAACTCGATAGTTAATGAATCCTGCGGAGCACACATGCTAGGCAAAGAGCTTATCGCTACAGAGTACGGATGCGAAGGACATTTCTCTAAAACAGACACACTAAACAGAGTATTTAACATGATTAGCGGTTGGAGCTCTAACTTGGGCTACAATTAGGACATTTCTCTAACACAGACACACTAAACAGAGTATTTAACATGATTAGCTGATGGAGCTCTAACTTGGGCTACAATTTTCAGACACTATTTATTTGCACTCTCACAGCGCCTCCCAGAGCGCCTCCCACAGCAGGGCCCCTAGCTCCTGCAGCTCGACCCTGACGGCTAACGTACCACTCACGCAGCTGCTGTGGGGAGAAAGGGAGACGACGACGAGAGTGCAGCGGCGAGGCACCAGCGGAGCGACTACGGAGACAGCCGCTCCAGGGAGACTTCTCACCAGACGCCTCAGCGCCCCCAGGTGCAGCACCCCCAGACTCAGTACCCCCAGGCTCAGCACCCCCAGAATCAACACCCCAAGCATGACCACCCTCAGCAGGACCTGAGTCACCAGTGACCTCAACCGGCGCAGTCAAGGGAGGAGGGTCTACCTGAGACATACCTAAAGGAGCAGGACCGGGAGCGGGGAGGGGGTCTACCTTGGGAGCACCCGGAGCGAGGAAGAGCGACGGGGGGGGGGGGGGGGGGGGGGGAGTGGGGCAGTGCAGTAGGGGAAGAGACGGTAAAGGGGAACCGACTCGTCATAAGACCAGTCAAGCAAAACAAAGCAAGCTCAGGGTGGATCACAACGTCACCACACAATCGGAGCACAAGAGCAAGGCCAAAAGGCCAGTTCACATGCAAGATCATATATAATGGTAAACAGGCAAGTGCAGGTATAGAAAGATCACAGTACAAGCAAGGTCAAGAAGTGAGCAAGTGAGGCCAAGTAGGCACAAGACCTAGCATCGAACAGAAGCGCAGATGATCACCAGGCGGAAGTGCCTTGGTAAAGATATCAGCAGTGTTGGACTCAGAGGCCACGTAAGCAAGGCGCAGCTGACCACGCTGCTGCAGCTCACGAGCAAGGAAGTAGCGAAGAGCAATGTGCTTCGTTCTGTGCTCCAGCCTGTGCTCCCGACACAAGGCCAGAATGGCCATGTTATCTACGTACAGAACTAGAGGAGAACGAGGCAGCTCTCCTAGGTCAGTCAGCAGGTAGGTGAGCCAGCGTAGCTCCTGTGCAGCCATGGCCCCCGCATAGATCTGAGCCTCACAGCTGGAGCCGAGAACAGAAGACGAGCGGGTAGACCGCCACAAAACAGAGCCGGAGCCAAGGCTGAAGGTGTAACCCTGTGACGACCGCTGCGTATCCTGGTCGTCAGCCCAAGAAGCGTCTGCGTGACCTGTGAGGACCACTCGACGTCGCCCTTCAAGCACTAGCCCCATGCCCGACGTACTGCACAAGTAGCGCAACACCCTCTTCGCTGCAGCCATGTGCTCTGGTCGGTGTCTCCCAGGAGCAACATAGCGTGCCAAGATGCTAAGAGGGTATGCAAGGTCAGGTCGTGTGCAGGTCATCAGGTACATGAGGCAGCCAACAAGCTCTGGGTACGGGCGACCCGGCTCTACGGACTCATTCAAAGGCAGAGCTGAGAGCGAGTGGCGAGTAGACAGAGGAGTGGCCTGGGGCGAGGAGTACGTGAAGTCGAAGCGCTGAAGGACCTGCTGCACCATGTGTGACTGAGTCAGGGTAATGGTGCGCTGTGCTCTGTCCCGCGTGATCTGCAAGCCAAGGTAGCTGCGCAGTTCACCCAGGTCTGTGCACGTGTGTCTCTTCTGCAGCTCCGACTTCTCGTGGGCGAGTCCAGCAGTGTCAGCAGTGGCAAAGACCAAGTCGTCGACGTACACGAGGATGTAGAACGGCAGCAAAGAGGTGTCGGTGCGCAGAAACAGCGACGGGTCGGCTGTAGAAGGAGCAATCCCAAGAGCCACAAGTGTAGTCCTCAGTGTGTCGTGCCACTCACGGGGCGCCTGGTGGAGACCGTAGACTAGCTGCCGGAGGCTCCACTGGGTACCAGGAGGAAACGACCTAGTGAAGCCAGGAGGGCGGTGCAGCCAGATCTTCTCGTGCAGGCTGCCCTGCAAGAAAGCTGTGCTGAAGTCAAGAGTCTGAAGCTCGTGGTCGCGCTGAGCGGCTATGTGCAGCAGCACCCGAAGAGTGGTCATCTTCGAGGTGGGAGAGAAGGTCTGAAAGTAGTCAACTCCCTGCCGCTAACTGAAGCCTCGAGCCACGTAACGCGCCTTGAAGACAGGCGGAGAACCCGGCGGCCGCTTCACCCTGAAAATCCACATGCCACTGACGATGTTCGCCCCATGTGGGGGAACCTCGTCGACGTAGGTGCCTGTGGACTTCCAGGAAGCCATCTCTGCGTCCATGGCCGACTGCCACTGAGAGGAATAGGGACCCTCGATCGCCTCAGCGTACGATCGAGGAGTCGGGATGTCTGGTGCATCCGGGTCTCCCTCAGGGGCAATCAGCGTGGACACGAGATGAGGCAAAGCAGCAACAAAAGACTGGAACTCCTCCTGCCTGTCCTCAAGGATGTCAGCAGGCTCACGACGCTCAGCAAGACCTCCAGTAGGACCAGTGTAGGGAGAAGGAGCAGGCAGAGGGGAGGAGGGCTGTAGCTGTGACCGCGACAGGACAGACTCTGGACCCTCTAAGGGAGGAGCAGGACCACTAGAGGGCGGGAGACCAAGAGCATGCTGAAGGAGCGGAACGAAGTACGCCCGCAGCCGCGCAGCGCCTCCAGAACCAACAGGGACAGCACCAGAACCCCCAGCGGCAGCACCAGCGCCAGCAGGACCTCCAGCTCCAAAAGCGCCAACCCCAGCACCCTCAGAAACACCGGCGCCAGCAGCACCACCAGCGCCAACACCCCCAGCAGCTCCAGCTCCAGCAGCTCCAACTCCAGCAGCCCCAGCAGCACCCCCAATCCCAGCAGCTCTAGTACCGTCAGTACGAGCACCTCCAGCTCTAGCAGCACGGCTCCAGCGCCGGGCAAACCACTCGCGCATCTCCTGCGGAGAGAGTAGCTCCCGCCTTGACGAAGCACCGCGAGAGGCCACACGAGTAGACCCAGCACCCCCAGGCTCTGCACCCCCAGGCTCAGCACCCCTAGGCTCAGCACCCCTAGACTCAGCACCCCCTGGCTCAGCACCCCCTGACTTAGCACCCCCAGGCTCAGCACCCCCAGGCTACGCACCCCTGGACTCAGCACCCCCAGTCTCCGCACCCCCAAACCCGGCACCCGCAGGCTGAGCACCTCTAGCAGCACCAGAGTCTACAGCTACCCCGACAGGCTCGACTGCGTCTACCTGGGATACACCTTACGGGGTAGGACCCTGAGGGGGGAGGGGGTCTATCGGGGGAGGACCTGGCACAAGGAAGAGCGGCGGCGGGGGGAGGGGCGCAGTGCGGTAGGGGAAGAGATGGTAGTATGGCGCCGACTCGTAAAATGTGACGTCCTGGGAGGACAGAACACGACGTGAGGTGGGGTGGTAAAACTGCCACCCAGGCGCGTCAGGGGGGAAGCCAAGGAAGACGTAGAGAACAGCACGAGGGGACAGCTTGTCCGCAGAAAAGTCGCGGACAAACGCCCGAGATCCCTTGACCCGAAACGCAGACGGATTGCCAACCTTACCCATCCACCGCAAGGTGGGGGAGGTCTCTAGCAAGGAGACCCAGGGCTGAAGGTTGAGCTGATGCGCTGCGTACTGAACCGCAAACGGCCACAGAAAATAGGGGGCAGCCGCATGGATCATGGACGTACGAGCGACGTCCATGACCATGCCAATGCGGCGCTCAGCAATCCCATTTTGCTGTGGAGAGGCCGGAAGCGTGAAGGTCTGGCGGATGCCCTGTGCACGACAGAAGGCTCCCAGACGGGCAGAGGAAAACTCCCCGCCTCTGTCAGAGTGCAGACGCAAAACAGGAAAGTC